ATCTGCTCCTGTTTCTTCCGTAGAGTCTACGAGTTTCCGGAGAGAGAGAGAGAGAGAGAGAGAGATATCCCGGGGTTCGCGAATCCTGTTGATCGTTCATCTGTCTTCCTTTTACTTCGCAGCTCCGCATTTTCCTATTTGGATCAAGTATCCCGTTTCATCCCTTCGGTTAAACGCATCCCAATGTCTTGAAAGGGTTCTAGGTCGCTCATCCCGTTATGTAGGTACACGAGTTGAAATTGACCTCCTACTCCCAGGATTCGAACTCACGACTCTCAACCGGTGTGACTTTTAATCCGATTTTTCCCCATTTTGACCTCAACCTGGCCCTCCTCTAAGGCATCCAAGTCAAAGGTTGACCCTAAGCGGAAATCCAATCTCAGAACCCCCCGACCCTAAAACATCCTCTTTACCTAGCTTAGTTGGATTACAGGAGTACACCACCACCATCACCACTCCCGGCTAAATTCAAATGCTCCTCCTTTGGGTTTTTTTTCCCCCGGGAAGGTGGGGCGGCGGGTAGGAGAGGAAGGATTTACCCGTAAGGTTAATTCGTACGTGTTATGGTAAGGTTATGTTTAAAAAAAAATCGTTAAATGTAACCCTTTCGTTTCGAATTTTTTATAAATTTAATTTTAAAGTGTAAATTTGCCAATTTTATCAGGAAAAAAAAAGAAGGGTGATGAAGGAGGAGGGGGATGAAGAAAGAGTAAAGAGGTTGGAAAAAAAAGGTTTCATTAAGTTAACATTAAATTGTAGGCACGTTGCCATTTTCCATTTATTTGATATTTTAAAAATTATTATTATTATTATTATTATATTTATGAGTTTTAATTGGTTTAATCGTTTTTATGTTCCTCCATACTTTCCCCTCCTTCAAATAAAAAATTCAAATGGTTTATTATTATTATTATTATTATTATTATTATTATTTTCTTAAATTTAAAGAATTTTATCTTGAAAAAAAATGGGAAAAAAGGGGGGGGGGGAAAAACTTTTCTTTTGTAAATTCACATAAATGAAAAACGAACTTCATCCGGGAAAATTTAAAATCTTTTTTAATTTTATGACAGCCTTCAGTCCTTTTTTTTTTTTTTTTATCTCCGTTGAATTTTCTTTTTTTTCCGCCATTTTTACTTTTTAAAATCGAGGATAAAGTTTTGTTAAAGAACGACACCTTTTTTTTTTTTTTTATCTTATTTGTTTTCCTCCATGTTTTTCCCTTTTTTTGGAGTGAAATGAAATAAAAAAAAAAAAAAAAAACTTGGCCAGCAATTTTTTCTGGATTTGTACGGATTATTTTGATGGTAAAAATCTTCTTTTCTTTAATAATTTTCTTCTTTTTTTTCTTTCTCTCATCGTTTTTTTTTTTTTTTTAATCATTCAAAAAGTTTACGAGAGTATAAAAGAGAGAGAGAGAGAAAGAGAGAGAGATGGAAAAAAAAAAATTTCAAGTTGAATATTTTACGAAAAATTTCCTTTGAAATACGTCATTAGATTGTAGTTAAACTTTTTTTTTTTTTTTCTCTTTTCCTTCCTTCCTGTTTTGTCTCGTTTTTTTTTTTTTTTTTTGCTGACACAAAATGATTTTTTAAATCATTTTTTATCTCCCTGATAAGTAGTAGTAGTAATACTAGTGGCAGTAGTAGCAGTAGTGGCAGCAGTAAAAAAAAAAAACATTTCCATACAAAAATCAACTTTTCTTTTCACCCTAAAGCTTTTTCAACTTTTTTTTTTTTTTTTTTTAATGATATTTAAATTTTTTACATCATTTTCCATTGATGACGTTTTTCTTTTATCAATTTTTTTAGTAAATATTTTTTTTTTTCTTAAAATGTGCAAACGATGTAAACTCCCATCGGCACTTTTTGTTACGTACAAAAGAAGAAGAAAAAAGAAAAACCATTTCCGGTTTTTTCTTTCTTTCTTTCTTTCTTCTTATTCATTTATGTGAATAAATTTATTTTATTTAAGACCTTTTCTTATTACGTAGACTAATTAGTCGTAACCTTTTTTAGTAACCGAACCCATAATTTTTTTTTTTTTACTCTCCAACGATATTGCTAAATTTACAACCCCTAAAATAATAATAATAATAATAATAATGCTCTATTCGATTGCGGTAGTAAACGTTTTGAGGTTTTTAATATTTCTTTCCTCTCTCTCTCTCTCCATTAATTTTTTTTTAAATATATTTCTTATTGGTTATTACTAATAATCAATCAATTATTTTCCTTTCGAGAATATTCTATCAAATTTTCCAAATTAATCTTATTATAAAAAAAAAAAAAAAAAGAAAAATTTGTCGTACTTATAAATTTTTTTCTGCTTCTTCTTTTTTTTCTTCTTCTTATATAAATTTTTATTCGGACTTTCCCGTCATTTAAAATTTAAATTCATGAATATTCAGTTAATAAAATATAATTTTTTGAAATCGTCATCAAAACTTATTAATAATAATAATAATAATCCTTAAATAGTTAAATTTTTCTACGCTTTCTCCCTTTTTCAAAATATATATATTATTCATTTCCTCTATTTCGAATAATAATAATAATAATAATAATAATAATAATAATAATAATAATAATAATAATAATAATAATAATAATAATAATAATACGGTGAATATGTTTAAATTCATAGCATCATCCGTTTGTAAATTTATTATCATTATTATTATTATTATTAATAAAACATTGTTATTTATCGTCGTTATATATGAATAAATTACGTTTTACGTTTGTACATATTGTATAAATCCTCGCTACGAATATTAATAATAATAATAATTATCATTATTATTAATAATTTTCATTTATTAAATTTTTATATTATTTATAAAACGAAACAAAAATTTAAAACAAAACAAAAAAAAAAAAAAACAAAAAACAAAATAGAAATAAGTGAATTTTCATTTAAAAGTTTTCATATATATATATACTCTCGTAATTATTAAAAAAAAAGTAAACAAAAATAATCGATTCTGATTGGTTGAAAAAAGAAAAAATTTTCATCCGCGACTACGTCATCATGACGGAAATGAACGACAGTGACCGATCGCGAATAAATAAACAAACGTAACGTTAGAATGGGAAGGGGAGGAGTTAATGTTTGTTTACATTCGGGTATTTAAATGAGGTCAATGACACTTTTTTTAAATTCATAATAATTTTAATAATTAATAGAAAATCGCGGGCGCGCGCGTAAAAATAAACCTCGTTGAAATGTATACGAGAAAAATTTTTATATCATTTTCGACGGGAAATAATAATACTAATAATAATAATAATAATAATAATAATAATAATAATAATAATAATAATAATAATAATATGAATAATATAGAGATAAAAAAATTACAAAATCTCTCGCATCATTTTTTTTTTTTTTAGGAAACGAAAAAGATTTTTCTTTTTTTTTTTTTTTTTTTTTTTTCTTCCTTATTCGCCATGAATAAATAAATATAAGAAGAAGAATAATTTTTGTATTGAATTCGAATTGGATTATGATATGTATGAGCTTTCATACAAAAAAAAAAAAAAAAAATTTCCTTTTTTTTTACTACTTAATTATTTATTTAATCTGAAACGATGTGACGTCAACGATGACGACGACTACGACTATGACGTATAAAAGCCGAAAACCGAAATTTTCTTGTTTTTTTTTTCCCCCCCCCCAACCATTTCGAAAATAAAATTTACACGTTTTTAAACGAATTTTATAATTTTACGGTAAAATAATAAATACGTACGCACGCACACACGCACGCACGCACTTTTTCCCAGCAATAACCTTTTTTTTTTTTTTTTCAAACTAAAATTTCCATTTATAAACTAAAATTTAATTCTCCTACCGACTTTTAATTATAAATGATTTTCTTTCCTTTTAATCATATTTGAAAATATTGTTAACTACCACCCCGGACGAATGGAGAGGTTCATAATAATAATAATAATAATAATAATAATAATAATAATTTTTTTTTTTTAAATCAATTATTCCGCGTCAAAAGTGTTTTTCCGTGTTACACTTAATAATTATAGCGCTATAATTTTAATTAAATTACTATTATTATATTCGAATCGAATTTTTGAGGGAAAAAAAATCGTAAAAACTGAGGGGGGAGGTGAGGGGGCGAGGGCAGTGATATGAAATCTTTTTTTTTTCTTCTTTGTTTGTTGTGTTTGTTTTGTTTTTGTTTTTTTAATATAAAAAAAAAACTTTTATTGTTTTCACCGTGTGAGAATTTCAGTTTTTCTTTTTTTTTTTTTATAATTACAAAAATGTAATTTAATTTTTTTCTTTTTTTACCCTTAAAATAAATAATAATAATAATAATAATAATAATAATAATAATAATTTGTTTCTTTTTGTGTTTGTACACAAACGTTTGTCGTAGAGATAAATTAATGAAAAAAAAAAAAGATTACGTTACGAATTTTTTTTTTTTTTTTTAAAAAAAAGTAAAAAAAAAGAATGAAAATTTTAAATAAAGTTTATTTTTTTTATTTCTTAATATCAAACTCACACCTGATTCCCCCCCCTCTCCCCCCCGCGATAATAATAATAATAATAATAATAATAATAATAAAAGTATCATTTATAAATGTCGTTTCCAAGTTGAGAAAAAAATTCTGGAAGTAACCGGAGTAATCTTTCTAATTTAAAAAACGCACACAATAAAAAAAAAAAAACGCGCGTTTATTTATTTATTTACTTATTTTTTTTTTATATAAATAAAATCTTAAATGTTCAATTAAATAATATTTACTTTCGAAGAATAAGAAAATAAATAATAAACATTTTAAATTGAAAAAACAAAATTTGATTAATGTTGTTTTTTTTTTTTCTTTTCCCAACAGAAAAATTATTATGAGGGAGAAAATAAATTTCGACGTCGTCGGAAAGGGTAAGAAAATTATTATTATTATTATTACCATTATTATTATTATTATTATTAGGCTAAATGTCAATCGTTATAAAAAAATGTCAGCTTAATGGGAAAGACAATTTGGGAATTATCAGGAGAAAATATTTCACCATCGTCACCGTCATCGTCATCGTCATCGTCATCATCGTCATCATCCTCGCCATCATCATCATCATCATCATCATCGTCATCATCATCGGTGAGTGACGAGAGTATTGGTACCGCGAGTGTCGAATGGCCAATGTCTCACGAAACATATTTAAATTCATCTAATTTAACGGACAATATTTTTTTTAAGTAAGTAAAAAATTTTTTTCGTTTTAGTTAACAAGATTAATCATTATTATTATTTGTTTTTTTGTTTTTCCAGTAATGAATCTTTTCCAGAGGATCAAATTTTTGAACCAGTTTTACCGCCTTTTGAATTATGGCAAACAATATTGATTGCCATTGCTTTAGCACTTTGTATATTATTAACAGTAGGAGGAAACATATTAGTTTTGTTGGCATTCATGGTAGATCGAAACATTCGTCAACCGAGTAATTATTTCATAGCAAGTTTAGCTGCCACGGATTTATTAATAGGTAATTTTTTTTTTTTTTTTTATTGAATCCCCTTCTTCGGTACTCGTTTACCCTCCTCTCGTATTATCCCCTCCCCCCCTCTGCAAAACGGTTTTCGTAAAATGAGAGAAAAAAAAAACAATTTTTAAAATTCCAGGTACCGTTTCCATGCCTTTTTATACGGCTTACGTATTAAAAGGCTACTGGGATCTCGGTCCTATACTATGTGATTTGTGGTTGAGTGTGGATTATACCGTTTGTTTGGTTTCGCAATACACGGTTCTATTAATAACGATAGATAGATTTTGTTCGGTTAAAATAGCTGCGAAATATCGGAGCTGGAGAACTAAAAATCGTGTTATTTGGATGGTTACGATAACGTGGATAATTCCAGCATTATTATTTTTTATAAGTATTTTCGGTTGGGAGCATTTCGTAGGTTATCGCGATTTACTCCCGGGTCAATGTGCCGTACAATTTCTCAAGGATCCCGTTTTTAACACAGCCCTCATTATAGGATACTATTGGACGACGTTGATCGTTTTATTCGTTTTGTACGGAGGAATTTATAAGACTGCTTACGACATGCAGAAAAAAAGCGAAGCGAAACAAAGGAAAATGCAAAGCATGGTCGCGTTGAGCGCCGGAGCCATGGCAGGAATGGCGGGTAGAACATCCGGTATCGGTATATCTAAAACGCAAAGTACGCTTTTGAGTCAGGACAAGCCTAAATCACTTCAGGGTATTCAATGCGAAAAGCAAATCAATACTACCGGTACCTCGATCGATGCGACAAAGAGTTCTTCGCATAAGACAACGACAATAATAACTGCCGAAGTGACTAGTTTATTAAAAGAAAAAAAAATAACAACAGCAAATTGTTTAAATGAAAATGTCGAAGTTGAAAAATCCGAAAGATCAAGTTCTCCTGCCTTTGATAGCGATGAAGAATTCAGCACGACAAATCCAACGGGAAATTCATCCAGTCAACCCGATAACAATAAAAAGGTAACAATAAATCAACCGGAACCATCGCACAAAAACGTTAACGGAATCGTAGGTAGTAGTGGTAGTAGTAATAGTAGTAGTTGTAAACAAATAACGGAAGGTGATAATTCATCAAATGTACAATCAACAAACGCTCTCCCTGATAAAAATCCCGAATTAGAACAAACAAACAATCCTCCACCTCCACCACCACCACCACCGCCTCCGCCACTTCCTCCATCATCGAATTCACCTCTTCCTCTATCGCAAAATTCATTGGAAAGCACCACGCCAAATACTACAACTACTACTTCGACCGCTTCTTCGGTACCTAGCATCATACCACCTCCGACGCAATTTCAAAATTCTTCAATGACATCCTCTTGTGAATCTCAATCGTTAAGTTGTAGTAATCCCTCGTCGCGTCCAAGAAGTTTACTACTCACTCCTCATCAAGCCTACGATTTGTTAGTGGATTTAGACAATTCCGATTTAAAATACATGGACGAAGGTTCGGTGATACTCTCGAGTCCTGCATTCGAAAGTTCTACGAGTTCTCTCGTGAGCAATGCTGCGACATCAACCACGAGACCTCCATCTCCTCCGGTCCATGCTCCCGCTGGTCCAACAACGAGCTTACTTCAAGCTGCTTTGATAAGAGCAACTGCCAAACAGCAAAAATACGGTCCCGTAACGAATTTTCCACCGCAACAAGGAAACCTTCCCAAATCTCCCATTCCAAATTCTTCCAATCAGGGTATTATTCAGCCAATTAACAAATTACAAACAACCGTTAGTATATCGAATGAAAATTCAAAAAAAATCGTTACCGCCATTGTTCCCCGATTTGATTATTCGGATGATTCGAAACGTGATAAAGACGGCGGCGGTGGCGGCGGTATCGGTACTGCGATAATTGGAAAAATCAATGAATCGATATTAATACGTAGGAAAAGCAGTAAAAATTTAAATAATACGTTAAACGAAACCGATAATAAAGGATGTGGTGGTGGTGGTGATGATGATGATGATAATTGTGATGATGTCGATTCGAAAAAAGACTTTGTTAAATCCTTAGGAAAAAGATTAAAAGAAAAACGTAATAATAAAAATAAAAATGGCGGAAGGCAAAAATCAAAATCTGAAAATCGAGCTAGAAAAGCTTTTCGCACAATTTCATTTATATTGGGAGCATTTGTTGCTTGTTGGACGCCTTATCACATATTGGCATTGGTCGAAGGTTTTTGTTCAGAACCTCCTTGCACAAACGAACACCTTTACATGTTTAGTTACTTTTTATGTTATGCAAACAGTCCCATGAATCCATTTTGTTACGCGCTAGCCAATCAGCAATTTAAAAAAACTTTCACGAGAATATTAAAGGGAGACTTACATCTAACTTAAATACTAATAATAATAATAATAATAATAATAAACAAATTAATTATTAAAATAATTCTTTCTCTCGCATAACCGCCCCCCCCCTTTTCCCCCTTCTCCTCCCTCCTTCCCGCGTTCTTTCTTTGTTTTTCATAAATTAAAATTCAAACTTGAGGTAATTTTTTTTTATTTATTTATTTATTTTTTTTTTGTTTTACTTTCGCATTTATGCATGCGTACACGCGTTTCCCCCCCCCCTTCCTCCCTCCCATTCTTCTTCTTTTTTAATATTAGCATATAAAATTTTCATGTTAATTTTAAAAATGATGAAAGAGAGAGAGAGAGAGAGAGAGAGATAAAAAAAAAAACTCGTGTTTTCCATTTTAAAGAAAATAAAAAAAAAAAAAATAATAATAATAATAATAATTTTTATTGAGATAAATGGAAAATAATATAAAGAGAAAATAAGGAAAATTTCAACGTGACGGATTTAAGGCTTTGTAATTTATGTTTAACATTATTTATAGCTAAAAAAGTATAAATTTATCGGTTTCGGATTTTCTTTTTTATTATTATTATTATTATTAAAATATTAATATTAATATTATTATTATTGATATTAAAAAATCCATTGATTT